TCGAAAATATTTATCTTTTTATTTGAATGAAAACAAATGTATAATTCATTTAAAGTTTTTATTTAAGGATTCTGTGGGTCGAAAATATTTATCTTTTTATTTGAATGAAAACAAATGTATAATTCATTTAAAGTTTTTATTTAAGGATTCTGTGGGTCGAAAATATTTATCTTTTTATTTGAATGAAAACAAATGTATAATTCATTTAAAGTTTTTATTTAAGGATTCTGTGGGTCGAAAATATTTATCTTTTTATTTGAATGAAAACAAATGTATAATTCATTTAAAGTTTTTATTTAAGGATTCTGTGGGTCGAAAATATTTATCTTTTTATTTGAATGAAAACAAATGTATAATTCATTTAAAGTTTTTATTTAAGGATTCTGTGGGTCGAAAATATTTATCTTTTTATTTGAATGAAAACAAATGTATAATTCATTTAAAGTTTTTATTTAAGGATTCTGTGGGTCGAAAATATTTATCTTTTTATTTGAATGAAAACAAATGTATAATTCATTTAAAGTTTTTATTTAAGGATTCTGTGGGTCGAAAATATTTATCTTTTTATTTGAATGAAAACAAATGTATAATTCATTTAAAGTTTTTATTTAAGGATTCTGTGGGTCGAAAATATTTATCTTTTTATTTGAATGAAAACAAATGTATAATTCATTTAAAGTTTTTATTTAAGGATTCTGTGGGTCGAAAATATTTATCTTTTTATTTGAATGAAAACAAATGTATAATTCATTTAAAGTTTTTATTTAAGGATTCTGTGGGTCGAAAATATTTATCTTTTTATTTGAATGAAAACAAATGTATAATTCATTTAAAGTTTTTATTTAAGGATTCTGTGGGTCGAAAATATTTATCTTTTTATTTGAATGAAAACAAATGTATAATTCATTTAAAGTTTTTATTTAAGGATTCTGTGGGTCGAAAATATTTATCTTTTTATTTGAATGAAAACAAATGTATAATTCATTTAAAGTTTTTATTTAAGGATTCTGTGGGTCGAAAATATTTATCTTTTTATTTGAATGAAAACAAATGTATAATTCATTTAAAGNATAGAACAACCAAAACTTGTGAGGCATTCCATTCGAAATTTAAGAAGGAAAACGTCTCTTCGCATTCCAATATCTATTCTTTTTTAAAGGTTCTGATTGAAATTCAAACAGACACTTACCTAAAATAAATTCAGTTAGCCAAGTTGAAAAACAAATTAAGACGAAAAATACTGTTAAAAATCAATTTTATTGATCAAAAAATAAAGCAACTAAATGATGGTGAAATATCAAGATACGACTATGCAAAATGTATTTCTTACAAAAATATCGTTAGTTAAGTTAATATTATCTATCTAATATAAAGTTGAAATATTAATCTTATAAGTACCTACTTCTAACAAATAAACAAAATAATTCAAAGTAAATATTGTTTTTTGTTACAACATTGTATTAGAAAATTTACTTGTTTACCTACCTACTGCTTCAAAAAGAACTCAAATCCCTACAGATATTTTAAAAGAAAGCTGGCAACATGGCTTGTGCTCAATTCGGGTGTTTATTTAAACACATGCAGGTAAGAAAATCTTTGTGCTCAATTCAGGTGCACCGGAAATTTTAATTTTGTTAAAAACTGGGTTGTGCACTTGTTCTGTCTTTAATATTTTTTTAGTAAAATGTTTTTAGGATTCCATACGTGAAAACCAATACTTATAAATTGTGAGTACATGAGTACTTAAGTACCCATGGATTTTGCACAGACAGAGAGGCAAAAAAGAATTAAAGAGTGGAGAAACTGAGTAGTCAAAACAATTTCGTTTTAGTTTTATACTTAAAAAAGTTTTTTAATAAAATATTCAATACTACCTTTTTTATTCGTAATTTAAGTTAAACAACATAAAATGACAAACTTAGTCGAAGTTCGATAAAAATACTATATTGCCAATTGAAATGCGATATCTGTAATTTTATAAAATTGCTTTTATATTGGATTAACTGGTTTAATAGTATTTTCCTTAAAATTAAGCGACAATTTCGTTGAATAAAATATTAGTAATATCGAAAAACTTTGATACCAATATTGGCGAAAGGTTGCATGATACCTAAAAACTGAAACTAAAAAATCAATTATGAATGCACTAATTTTATATTAGATATCTGTGAGATATCTATGAGCAATAATTCGCGAACGTCTATTAAAATGTCGTTGCATACTAGACAATTTTCTAATTATTACTTAAAAAAACAATTTTTTTAAATAAAATAAATAATTCACAAACTGAAATTATAATTATCCACGGTATTTTCGTCATCCGCCTACAACTCCGCATTTCAAAAATAATTCTATGCCTTTCTTTTTGCATGCCCATATTTCATTGGCTTTTTAAGGTATTTTCGTGTCGTTCTACTTCCTTCACTATCCAGACTAAAAATGATACAATGTCCCCCGGGACCCAACCCCGTGAGTTTCCCGTAATATATAAAGGTCCTAGGGAATTTTAAACACAATATTTCAAAATCACGCATCTGATATCAGAAGTCAAGAAAAAATAAAATTAAATTATGGAAACTACAAATTAACTTCTAAGACCGATGAATAAATTATTAACAATTGAGAAATAAGATATTTGCATAAGTATTCATATAAGAAGATTGGAAAAACTTTGGCGATTGTTGTAGAACAAACACAATAGCTCAAAACCCCAACGCCAAAACACGACACTGTAGTTGTCCGAAGCACTTTTCGGTAACAAAGTTACCTTCTTCAGGAACTGAAGTAAACTAGTAAACTGTTACCGAAAAGTGCTTCGGACAACTACAGTGTCGTGTTTTGGCGTTAGGGTTTTGAGCTATTGTGTTTGTTCTATAAGTATTCATATTTCTGTCATTATTGTTGTCATAAGAAAATTAGACTTACCGCGTACATACAGTGTTTTAACTAAATACTACAAACAAAGCTTATTTTGTACTTGTTTTTAATAGAATTTTAGCTTTTTAACTTTTTTTTACCAACAAAAGAAAAATGCCAATAACCGCTATTTAAATAGCCGCATTATTTGCAGATTGAGATTTAATATCAAACAAAATGCACGTTTGGATGATGAAGTTGTACCTCCCGTAAGATTATGAAGCTAGAAAGAGCAAATAAATCAATGAATCAATGTATGAATAATTGAGAATAATGCAACAATCAGTTCTGAGAAAATATAAAATTTTATATAATNTGCGTTTTTGACGTCCCGTTCTACTAGAATATTTTCAAATAAAACTAGTAGCGAATTTGGTTTGATGCTTTAAATAAGAAGGTTTCTTACATACTTAAATTTACTTAAAACTAGAGAACAACTAGGAGTTTAGTCGAAACATTTCAGGATTGTGGATAAATGTAGGAATTTTCTAAATATAGTCATATACGAGAGGTGTCGTATGCAACCAGATACATAAAATTTCTGAGAATAAGTAAGAAAGGGCCAATAATAAGCCAGGTATTACTGACAATCAGGATAACCTCATTTATACTATCAGGAAATATTTGAATTCCTCACGTACATTTTGCCTGTGTAATAATGAAAATATTCACAAAATATCATAAAGAAAAACAACAGAAAAAAAGAATTTATGACCTAAACGGTATAAGAAATGTCTGAAGAAATGTTATAACGTTGAACTAAAAAATTTGGAATATAATGAAAGTGAACAATTTTACTAGACAGCTAAACGGAAATGGTTTTGAATTAACATAATTGCAAAAATATCGATAGATATAATTAATAACATTAAGTATCATCTGACAGAATTACCCGGTACTGCGGGGTAATCGGGGTCATTATCCTGTACCCGCCAGATTGGGCACTTTTTTAGGGTCTGGCCGGGTGCCGGATAATGATACTGAGTATATTTTAATATAAGGATATCTATCCTCATAAAGTCATCAGGTGGTCGGTAAAATATTTTAGAACTATTTCTAAATTCTCTACCCTGTGAATAGAAACACTTTTTTGTGTAGATTGCTGATCTATTCTTCCTTTTAATTATTTTGTAATTTATTTTTTAATGCTGTAATTAAAATTTTGAGAATTTGAATATTAATTTAATAAATATAATACAAAATACACTTCGTCCATGTTGTTTTCATTAATTTTTTTACACATCAATTATGATGTCCATTGAAAATTGTTAAAATTGGGGTAATGTTGCGAACTAAATTAGATTAGGAGCCACTGCTGAGAAAACCATATTATTTTCGCGTAAGTACCTTATAATTTAATATTTTTTTAACTTTATTTGCAAGTAGTTGAGAAAACAATAATTCATTTGATATAAATAGATCTTGTCTACCACATTTTATGTTATACGTTACCAATAAATAAAATATTCATGAAAAATACGGAGTGAAATAAAATTCATTTGGAAAACATTACGTATTTAATTTAACGAAAGTTTAATCTTCCAAAAATTCTTTTTCTTGTGAAATCTTCAAATCGCTTAACTTCAGTCACTTTCACTTATGATTAAACATAATCTTAAATGCACCTGAAAACTAATTTCGTATGTAGGAACACCCATACTTACATACGAACGGAATGTTCACTTACATAAAATTGATATTGATGTTACCGGTCGAATTGAGAACATACAAATTTCTGAAGACTTAGAATTTCCAAACATGGACCAATAAACGCGGATTGTACTATGATGGCTAATAAACTATATTCTTGTCCTTCGGTACCTCTTACTTCTTTCTCGTCGTTAACACTACGCGCCAATGGTAGTGGTAAATACTACCACCGTCAGTGGTCGACTTTTTGTACGGATACGACAGATTTATGTGTATGTGTGTGTATATGGGATCTTTTATCGAGGTAATTGCACCGATTCAACATGAGTAGTTTTGGATCATCACGACCTTGCCCTGCGGAAAGATTCTTTTGCAATTCGCTCCAAAACCATCTCAGAGGGAAGGGAGGGTCTAATATATACCAAAAAATGTCTCACCGTATCATCATTCCCAGTGATCGGTTCTCCTACGGACTAACACACATACACAACAAAAATGAAACAGGTATGTACTATTTTTTTTTGTTATTATTATATTTATCCTTTACCGTCGGCTATTGTTTTTGAGTTTTCATGATTACGTGTTATTCAGGGGTGATCAATTGTCATAAATTTTCAAATTACTGTAAAATTAGGTGTTGTCAGTCCAATCTTTTTATTATTGTAAATTAAAAACATTATACTTAACAATTTTAAAAAAGAACCTCGTTTAAATTTTAACGTAAAACGATTAATTTAAAGAGATTTCTTTTTTCAATTGTTTCTGCATATGATGCCTTTTTATGAGTATCCGTTTTATATTCTTGAGAAAGACATCATTTGCCGACACAATTGTTTGATTAAAAGACAAAATAATTTCAATTAACAGCAGATGTAAACGTTTTCAAGATAGATTACATAGTTAATAAGTTACATTAGGAGACATTGGAATTTTCTTTTTCTTGAATAATTATCCACGATATTAATGTATAATTTGGGAAGATAGTACAAAGTTTCATTAAAAGGTTTTTGAAGCATAATAACAAACTTAACATAATTATCCATCCGCTAAATCATTACAACTTCTTGTAAAACGGTAACACTAGAATTAATTCTTTAATCAACAAACGTTTATATTTTCTGTAACTTCAAATTCAATTTCCACAGTAATTTTTGATGACAGAAACTGCATTATTAATTATAAATATTTTTAAAATTGAGCATCTAATTTGTTTTTGCTGGTATTAGATACAAGAATTCTAATTAAGCTAAAAAACTAACTGCTTTATCGTAGCAGTATTCAATTTAATAATTTCAGATTTTTTTATTCTGTTTATTTTTCTTGTTCACTTACCGTTGAATTGCGCTTTTCAGAAGCAATTTTAACTCATTAATTTTTTTTGCTAGTTTTTAATTCAGTTGATGACTTAAATGTATTGATATTAACATACAGGCAATATGTGATTTTCCTATAAACATGTCTCACGATCAGTGAAAAATTACATAAGTATTTAAAAAAGAAACGTATCAGCAACAACGACAAAAATCAAAAAACTACAAAAATGCAATATTCGACAGTTTATTGTAAAATTATAAAACACATTTTTTTGTTTAATTAGTCCAACCTATATCTAACTGTTTATCGAAAATTAATAAATTAAATCTAGTCAACCCTAGCACATTCACTTTGTAATGGATTAACGTGATCTACGTATGTTTCCATTGTTGACAACAATTATTATTTACCCGTTTATTAGACAACAGACCAGAAAAGTATTTATAATCGTAGTTATACCGTCGTGTAATTGTTTGAACATATTCTTTGATTTGCTCTAATACAATTTTAATCAATTGATTATTATCGTTAGTGATTATAACAAATTTTGCAAAGATTTAGTTATTTATTTTCTTTCAACATTGTGTATGTATAAATTAATAATTCCCTATACATTCATTTAGTCCACGGAGAAAATGAAAAATCAAAATTTATGTAAATATTAAAGCGATATTTACAATTTATCCCTCTAGCCCGTTGCTTCGTAAGCGAAAATAATAAAAATTACAATTTGGACCCGAATCAGTAAAAATAAAATCCCAGCAGAAATAAATTTACTAGGTATTTTAGTTGATATTACAAATTCAATTGTAATAATTAAGAAACTTTGAAATAATTTTTAAAAAAACGTCAACATTGAGATTATTACAAGTTACTGAATAAATTCTATTATTTCTACGGCAAATTCAGTCATTCACAAACGAAAATTGTAATTTTCGGTGATTAAGAATTCCTCCCGCAGGTAGTTTTTATTAAAATTTAGATAGTCGAATTCCCTCCCGGGTACTAGCCGAGTTCCCTCCCGTTCATATTAAGTTACCGACTACTTACCGATTTTATTTATCAGTACTTCAGAAAAACTTTATTAGTTTTAGTTTGTCTTGTTAAAATTAAATGAAACACTTCGTATTTTAACATAAATTTCACATTGAAAATCTAGTAAAACATTAGCAAATTGATAAATATGCCGCCGTTTGGAGGCAATTGATGTATAATTAGGAGGGAATTCGACATACCGAAAATTTTAACCCTAATTAAAAACAGGTATATGGGAATGAACTAGGCATTATCCATAATTTTTGCGTTGTCATAAAAACTTAATTTTCTCTGTGTATCTAAGAAAATAACGATTGATTTTTTTAATTTTTACTTAATCGACTACCCTTGGCTAAATTAAAACATATACGGTAAATAAGTAAGTAGTTAACGTGCCTTCAATGAAAACAGTTTTTGTAACAAAACAGGCACGTACGCTTTAATTTTTAAATGTCAGTCTTTAAACTATTGCCATAGCGTACCTACACAATAAAACAAAAAAAAAATTGGTCTGAGCACACTTTGGTCGGTGCTAATACGACTAACTTCCCATTAGATAATACAGTTATTGTAAAGTACATTCGTTTCTAAAGTTTGAAAAAAACGCGGCACAATAATAAATAACAAACAATGTTTGAGAGTTCGTCATTTTATAAACCCATAAGAAACAGTATTTCGTCTGAGAAAACCGAATTGATAGAGTACTTGCATCAGTCAATTGGTAAATACTATTTTTTATTGTTTATCGATTGTTTATAACAATTCATTTTGTTATAAACAAATTTTTATTATAATATGTTATTATAATATGTTATTCCCTGTCTTGAATAATGATATTTCGTTATTATTGATTCCGTAACTTCATTGTTGTGATTAGATTAGAACGTATTTTAATTAAATTGTTTGTAATTAATTCGTTTTTTTTTTTATAAAAAAAAAACGGCTTGACCGATTTCGTTCAAATTTCTTTCAGATCTTCATTATGATAATATCTTTCGAAAAAATTTTGGTTGAGGGCGATATCTCAATCCGTTCTTGAGATATCGAAAACGAAAAAAATGCTGACATACGAACGTACGTACATACGTACGTACGTACGTACGTACGTACGTACGTACGTACATACACACATCATCAAAAAAATTGGCTAGCATGCTACTAATATGTTAAAACGTGGAAATATAATGAAAATTCCGATTTCACTTTTCGACCCAATTACAATAACTTCCTAATGGGAAGTTAATAATGAAGACTTTCAGCCATGCCTTATCAGATGCAATCTTAATTTAATGTCTGACATTTTTCTCTTTATGTCAAAGAATATGTTACGACAGTTTGTAAAGTGGTAGAAATGGCCATTGTTTTTGATACCATATAAGACGAAAATTATTTATTAGTTTTCTCTTATAGACACAATAAAATATGTGCCAGAATCGGTGACAGTGAATCTATAATTTTTTCGCAATGTCACGACTTATTTCATTCATGGGAGTTGGGTATTATTACCAAATAGAAATGCTTTATTTTTATTTGGTAATTTAAGACGAGTCTTTGTTAATCGATGTCAGGTGGATAATAAAACTTAAAGCAAGGCGAGTAAATCATTAGTTACATCTCTAATTCTTTTTCTTTTTTTATTTTCGTAATACCAACAACGCCATTCGTTACACTCACGATTACTTAATACACAAAGTTCAACAGGTTTTTGTGTAGATAAATTATTGTTTTTAAATAATGAGAACTACCTACTATAGCCCTATGCAGTAGGAAATGTTTAGACTTTAATCAATCTTCATTAAGATCCATAAATTAAAAATAAATTATTTACACAATACGGCACACTTTCTTATGGTAATTCCACTTTTACTAATTCCGAAGTAATCTTGGGAATGTAACGAAATGAGATATCGACTTAATAATTCTTTATAAACGAATAAATTTCAAGAAAACATCATTCACTAGACTACCTTTTGTATATAAAGAAACTACTTTTAAACATGTATGCAATAAATTAACAAATTAATATTGTTATAAATTTACTGGGTACGTTTTTATTAGAAAGATTAAAACTTCAGAATTATCGTGTTGATTAAATTGACGTAAGTTTAAAGTCTTATAATTAATTAGGACAAACAACTGAATCGAATATTATTATTTTTTGGAATAATCTTCTAATCTTATTGGTTCATAATCCCGTAGCTAAGTATCCACTTTGTTCATAATAATAGTATTTCACCTACAGTTGATGGTAATAAAGAATTATCCAAAAACAGTTCAGTTGTTTGCTAAATAGATATCGGCTAGAAATAAATTCAAAACTGAAATTTCATTGGAAGATAAAACTACAGAAAATGTGAGAAAAAAACGTTGAAAAAAAATTAGTAATGGATTCGGTTTGAGTATTACTCGCATAAATAACTAATATTAAAGTATGAAAATGTAACATTAATGCCGTCTTGTATATAGAAAGCTTATATTTTATAAATATAGTACCTAACCTTATTTTTAAAGTTCCGTACCTCTTTAGGAAAGCACAACTCCTCATAAGGTAGTAGATTATTCGCGCATCCCTATCTGTTTGATTGTTTGTCGATTTTATGAGAAACCATGTCATGTAGAAATTTGAAATTTGGCACAATAATCTACCTTATTAACCTACATATTTTGCACCAGTTAACACTTAAAATATTCACATGAGAATTGAGGAAGACAATAGAGGCAAATTAAGAACTTACTCGATTTCTCTTGAATTTCGTTAGGAAAACGAGAACGTTTTTATCAACACTGTAAGTATTTATTAGCACATTTTAATTTTTTTTTGAAACGCTAAAATTAAAAAACATTTAAAGAGGGAGAGAGCGAGAGACTAAAGGAAAAATATGTAACTGATAGAAATGTCTTATACATTTCCAGAAATTATAGATTTGCACACTTACCATTTTATATCCGGATGATAGCGATTAAAACAGGAAGCAAAATTCTTTTTAACGCAAAAGATAAAAAGAAATAGAATTGTTTTCAAAA